GGCTGCCAAACTTTCTAATCCGCAAAAATGGACGAGACAGTTCCATCAATGTCGCGAAACGCGGACATTCGCCGGCGGTTTTGCCCGCAGGGACACCACCGGTAATAAAAACGCATTGAGACCGTGTATGCGCTCGTAGAAACGTAAAACGATGTACACGCGTACATCGTCACGGCGGCGGCGGAGCAGGGTAAAAATTTTCGGCGGTCCCAGATGCGGCCGGCCGATCGAACTTTAACGTCGTTTGCAAGCGGCTCCTCTGCGAACGGTCGACCGGACTGCCGCGTTCTCACGTTCCATTGCAAAACTGTCGAAACTGTCGAATCGCGGACAAAGGGTGTATAATACGAAAGTTACAAACAGAGGCGGAGGACAGAGAGGGAGAGTGAGAGAGGGGGAGGGCGAAATAGAGAGAGAGAGAGAGAGTGAGAGGGGGGGAGGAGAGATAGACGTGTCGGCGCGAGTGTGAGCATATACGAGCCGCGATATGAGTACCGATGCAAGTTCTTGGAGCGTATAATATTCCACGTGCGAGTTGTCACTTCGTGACCGCATTTCAGTGACTAATGAGCGCTTTCGAAAGCACGTTAGGTACTGTCAGATACACGGCTGCTGTGCAATGCCATGGCGAGCTTCTGTGAGAGGATCGTGATATACATACGCGTGCACGTATACACACGTGAGAATGTGAGCGTGTACGTGCACGCTGTGTTATACATGCGCCTATCGAAGAGACGATATAGAAGCGAAAATCGGGATTTAGGATGCGGTGAACGAGCCCACTTGTCTTGAGTAAGAAATAATGCAAAAAGTAGATCGTAGCGATACGATCGATTTAGAAATATCGGCAAATTTGCGGCTATTAAAGTTTGACGAACTCTAAAGTCAAGGGATAGTAGTTTCTACGAGATTTTGTACACGGAAAGAACAATTTTGCTGAATCCAGATCTGAAAATAATTTTTATTTAATAATCAAAATAATTTTGTGCGAAAATCAAAATGATTGCTAGAATAACAAAACGTTTTACAGCAATGTTTATCAGTTTTAACATTCCAACAAATTATTTTAATGATTCAACAAAAAATTATTTTCAGATCTGTATTTAGCAAAATTTTTAGACCTTTCAATAAAATCGTTCTTTCCGTGTAGGTTCAACTAAACTTAATTCGGAATCAATGGTCCGTATTTATATACTTCACTTTTATCAATAAACGCCTTCATTTTTATTTCGTAGATTTCACAATAGGGAAGAGTTGCCAAATGCATACTGGTCCCATAAAGCGTATCTCTTCAATATTTTATAGTTCCATCTTGATAGAAGCAACATTTAGTAAGAAAATATGAAGTAAATAAGAAATGCGTAAGATAGACAAACAATGAACAGATTACTTCTTGTTTTGTGCATGCTATCAACATTTTAAAAAATCAAACACAATGTAAATTTTTGATCAATTTATATAGCTGATACTAATGTAACCATGCAATTTTTAATTGAATCGTTATTTTTTCTCAAAAGAAAATTTATGATAGCATATTTTACATTCATTGTATATACACATTTACAATTATTATAAAAATTATATCAATATTTTTATCATCTCTGTCAAGTTGGCTTTTGACAGCACGTTACAAAAAGCTTAGAACAAATTAATTTGCTATTAGTGAAAGATTTAACATGTAATATTAGATGCTTTGAACATCAAGCTACAATTTCCAATGTTCGTTTGCATTCTAAATAGTGCCAAATGTCAAATATAACCAAAAATATCTTAAGTGGTACGCATTCGGCAACTCTCCCCTATATACCATATGTACAGTATACACCAACTATATGCTAAATGCGCATTTAAAGACGTATTTATCGATAAAAATATGAATGTAATGTTACATCTGTCGCAAAAATTATATCATCTTGATTAGGTGTATCAATGGGAATGATATTCAGCTGTTATCCGCTTTACATCGGTGAAATTTCGGCGCCATCGATCCGCGGTGCCTTGGTGTGTCTGATTATCAACGGATTTCCCCTGGGGACACTCTTCGGTAATATAATGGGTCCCAATATGCCAATGATGTATTTCGGTATCATTAGCTTGATAGTGACGCTATGCTACATGGGTATTTTTCCATTCCTGCCGCAGTCGCCGTATTATTATGTACGAAACAATGACACTAAGAGGTATACGATTTTTTTGTTTGTACAATTGCTTTACAAAATAGATATTCAAGGTTGTATCCGACTGTGAATTTTGTTTAATGAGCCACGATTGATTCCGTCTCAAATAACTAATGTTTGTTTCTGTCCAATAATAGTATCTTTTTAAGTAATCCATATCACGTGACACACAGAAAAAGAAAGAATTGTTTAAAGCGATGGATTTTGTTTTCTACAACATATTTTCAGTAATACATTAATATTTTGATTTTAGTGTTTGGTAATAGCACGATAATAGTACATTGCGTCAAATTCTCGATTGATTTAATGCATAAAGTGCATACGTTATGGCAATATATTTTATTAATATACATATATACATTAATATGTACATATCCTTCATAGCGCTATTAAACATACAGTTTATTAGTTTAAAAGGTGTCCCATTTATCATAATTATAATGACTATTTTGAATATTTTTAAAGAAAAGAAAAACATCAAAAGAAAAATTGATTTTGGAAAGTTTATTCCATTTTTTTAATTGACTTATTTCTCTCAAATTCATATTTTTTAACCTTGTTGTTATTATGTTTTCTTAAATAAAACCATGTAATTTTTTTTATACAAATCAATTCTTTCAATGTTACACATAAAGTTGATCTTAAGAAGTAAATGTTTTTTATCAAGTATATAAATGTTTTATTTTGACATATTAGCTTTTTCGATAAAAAACCTTTTATATACGTACTAGGAATGAATTGATTCATGTAGACAGGAAAACATAGCTTTATTTGATTTTCTCTATCAATTGTTCTATTAGATAGTTAATTCAAATAGTGAACCAAAACGAAAAAATAAACAATCAAACAGCTAGCAATCTCGAGCATATAAAAAACGTTAGTCAAAGTTAATCAGAAAATAAAAATTTTATATTCACTTTATAATTCCACAATTGAAGGGCTTGCTGCAATAGTGGGCTAATCCACGGTTGCATTTTGTAACAACGGAGAAAATGAACTCTAAAGTTAAAACGATGAGTTTTAGAGTTCATTTTTTTTCATTTTTATAAAATGTTACCCACTTTGTTGTAGCACACACAAGCCCTTCAATTGTAATTAACTTTTACTAAAACAGTTTTTGAAATGAATGGAATATAAAAATAATTGTTATTATATTTTGCGGCACAAGCAGTTATTATGAATCAATTATCCAAAATTTGATTCTAAATACTTTGTTTTTAAAAATTATGTTTGATAATTATATATGGATAAAATGTCTCCAACTTTTTATTCTTATAAAAATTATTTAATTCACAGAAATGATAAAGAAAAAAAATGTAAAAGTATATTTCGCAAAAATGTAACTAAAATGCTTTAAATATTATGAAATTTTTCTTAGCGCAGCAAACAATTTATTGTTTAGTAATCATACAGAAATAAAATTTTAAATTTTTTAAAAGAAAGAAATGTTTAATTCTTTTAAATTTAAATAAAAATATTTATCTCCTTAAATTTTATTATTTATTAGAAAAATATTTAATTTCAAGATTAACAATATATGAAGAATACATTTCATATTTTTCTACAAATCTATATTAGTTTGAATAAAATTGCGTGTCACATCTGTACACGCACACATTTTCTTGTCAACCACATATATAAATCTCAGCTACGATTTATATTATTAAAAAAAATAAAAGAGAGAAATATGTAAAAAGTATACCGAGAGAAAAGTATAATTGCAAGTGTATAAAGAATGAAATCGATAATTATAAAACGATTATAGTTGAGAAATACTATATATATTCTTGAAATACATAAAGATTCTGAGAATTTTAAATAAATTAACAATGTTTCTATTTTTATTATTCTAGAGCGGAACAAGTCATTCGATGGTATTATCGAAAACCTGACGTGAGGAGCGAAATAGAAGCCGTGGAACACTTCATAAAGTCAACGAATACGATGAGCCTAAGGGAACGATTGGCGCAGATAAAAGAGCCGAAGAATCGCCGCTCCCTCATAATGATAACATTACTATTCATGTTTATGCAACTCAGTGGACTAAACACTATTGCATTTTATATGGAGATTATTATAAGGAAAGCAATGGTGACATCAATTACACCTTCGACTTTAGTAATGATCGTCAGTAGTGTCTGTATGTTTGACTTTCAATAATGATAATACCAATTATTTATTATTTTTTTATTCTGTATTATCTTTCACTGATAAAACAGTGTACCTTGTGTCTTAATTGTAAACTGTTTCAACGATAAAGTATATATTAATTTTAAACTCCAACTTTATTTTTATTAGAGTCGCGTGAGAATTAGATTGCTTTATCCAGTCATTATTGCTACGCAGGTATAACTATCGGCTGGATTGGCGCGTATGCCATCGATCGTTGCGGTCGCAGAATCCTATTAGCGGCCTCGTCTTTCGGCGTGATGGTCAGCATGACGTTGTTAGGTATGCATTTCTTTTTGCTGGACCAGAACTACGATCCTGGTAATCTCGAGTGGTTGGTGATCATATCGCTACTGATGTTTGGGATGATGTGCTTCGGACTCACACCGGTGCCCAGCACGATACTGAGCGAAATATTTCCTCCTGATCTGAAGAGCCTCGCTGGCTTTGTCGCTGGCATCTCGTCGGCGGGATTCGCATTCGTTGCCTCGAGGACGTATCAGCCGCTGGTGGAACTCATCAGCGAGCAGTACGTTTTCTGGATCTATGCAGTGATCATTATGATCAGCTTGATATATTCGCTCACCGTGGTGCCAGAGACAAAAGGAAAAACGCTACAGGTAATTTGATCGCATTATTGCACGTATCGTTATTATACGAAATACAGTTATTTTGGATTTAGTGTAAATGTGTTGCGTGTTAATTATTACCGATGTTAATAGGAAATTCAAGATATGATGGCCGCGAGAAGTGCAACTGAAAGGTCACGAGGAACACGCGGTGAAAGTGAAAATACTCAAACGTAGCAAATGTTTCTAACTCTTTTAGAGTATTCAGTATAAAATAGTAATTAATGTAATTATAAGAAGAATTCAGTTAAATACGAAAGATATGTATCATATTTTGTTAATACTGTACATAATATGATTTATATAAACAATTGTAAAAATAAATAATTACAATATAAAAAATAGCTGATTACAAACAACCGAATCAGCGAGAAAATTTTAGATTAAACATAAATGATAATTCAGTATTGAAAATAGGAAGAGATGAAACTACCTGAACAAGAATCATAAACATTCGGTTAGTTCAGATGATATCATTTTAACTTTTCTTTATATA